GCTGAAATGGGCTTTCTTAGACGAGTCGCTGGCCTTACGCGTCTCGACATGGTCCGGAAGAGTAACATCCGGAAGAGCCTTGGAATACAGCCTTTGCTTCTCCAGGTTCAGAAGCCGCAGCTGCGATGGCTTGGCCATGTGATGCGAATGCCCTCATAAGGGAAAGCTAAGCAACTGTTTCTTGGAAATCCGACCGGCAGAAGGCCCAGGGGACGGCCGAGATTAATCTGGTGCATATATATTGAAGGTATCTTTTCCACACTCCAGCTGTCTTCTGCTGAAGCTCACTCTGGCACAGGATCAGGAACGTTGGAAACCCTGTCTGACGCATCTGCTTCCGCGACCCGAAAGGAGAAGCGGCGATGGAAGATGATGAAGATAAAACATCGGGCAAAGATGAAGATTTTCAAACATTAAATGCTTCCAGCCAATGCAGGTATTTTTTAGCAAGTGAAACTTCAGTACAAACCTTAAAAAAGGAATCTAATAACTGTTTGTTAGAACATTTAATCTGTATTGATTTGTACATTCTTCGACAATGTGCTCCTTCTCCTTTCATAAAATGGACATATAAATTTCGATCGGTCCTGAAATTATCCGCAGGGAAGGCAGCTGTCTTATATGAGTGTTGTAAACGTCGCGATAAATCAGATCTTAGGGTTCATTATAAGGCTTGGTAAATCTATTCTAATGGATCGTGGCGATCCTCTGCACCAGGATCTAAATGCACTTGAACGATTCATTTCAGGTCCCAATATTCTTGCATCTATGCTAGAAATGGAACATAGAAAAACTCTGTGATCCCACAAAAGGCTCAGACTCAGAGAAATCGGATAAGAAAAATCTAATCGATTCAATCGTTTCATATTAACCCACACGTTAAGATATTCTCCATCAATATTCACTTTCTACAATCAAATCCGTACCCATCATTCATCATTCTCCATTCCCAGTCTCATAATTATGCATATGTTTGTTTATGATATGTAAATTATTATAATAATAGGTCAATGATTGTTGAAATACTAATCGGTTACAGAATTCCGTGCAATTTCCTATAACTAAGGCATTCAACTGTTTTGAATGACTGATTGATTGAATAAGCACAATATAAACAAAGCGAGGTACACTGCACTTGCTGAAACAGGCACAACTGATTAAGTATTACAGGATGTGTGAGTAAGAAAGAAATAGGATATTACATAACATATTTGTCACGGTTACAAATGAATTATGCGGAATCGGTTGATAAGATATATCATACATCGGTTATAATCAAATGAGCGTAACGGAGTTTGATATCCAATTCGCAAAAGTTTGACTGTACCGAAAAAACATTTTGAGAATACAGAAACTGCTGCATTTTAAAAAACATGAAATCAACGATAAAACCAGGAAAACACTATGCTGCTTACCATTGTTCAATGTTTCACTTGATCAATGAATCTGAACAATTTGGACAAATTAAAATGATCTCATGCAACAACAGATGAAATACTGCATCTATAATTAAAGAATGTTTTTGTTCTTAGCATTCTGTATATGGTAATATGCACAGGAAAGACCATATGATATTAAAATAACCTGCTGACTCATTGCGAACAATAGAAACATGGTCGAAACGAAAAACAACAAAGCTTGAAAGGAAATAAAAAGCAACAGCAAATTTAGAATTACCCTGCCACTGCACTGGAAAATCGTAAGTCAAGCGTTTGTTCAATAATTCGATTATGGAATTCAAGGATGATCATGGCTGCTGAACCTTATCTCGAAAGCGCGCACGCAAGAACCGACTGTTTTACTGTAATTGCGATGCTTAGGTTAAATTATAACGAAAAAAGTAGCCAGTTCGTATTAAAGATGAATCATAAATTAATAACTATATGCTGTCTTTGCATTTAGTTCAGATTTTCATCATCAGGTGAATCTATTTCAGCTTAAAATTGACTGAATATATAATCATCTTTAGCGGTAAAGTACATCAACAACTCAATGATTTGGCCAAGCCGAAAATTAGCATGCGTAACGGTGAAACGAAGTAACGTGGAAAAGGCATTGTATGAAGATTTCGAAATATGATCCTGAGTCGATATCTTGTGTCAGCAGTTGCTACTTCAACCAGTTTCATTAAACTAGCATGTTTGCACAGGAAGCAACTACTCTACGCTATTACTCACTTTGAAACGATCACATTTTCAGGTCCGAGAAAGCTGATTTCTTGTTTTTCTTTTGCGCTACTCGACTAGTTTCTGGCACTAGTGACAACAGCACGGACAGTTGTAACTAAGCTACAGGTGTTTTTTGTTACGGTCAAATTTTGAAATATTATGATTTGAGATAGGTCTTTGTTCTTGAGTACATATTTATCGACGTAACACCATTGAGTGAAAGTACTTATACAACAATTGATTTAAACAAAAAAAATGAGACATGGCATTCATTTCTGTCTAGTCCTGGTGGAAAAATTGTAATGCAAGAACGGTCGGTGTAAGAATTTAATCTTACTTGCCGGCTCAGACGATAAACAATATCAATTATTACACTGTAAGCACAAACCGTCCGTATTTTTATTTCGTTTAAAAATCCTACGAAATAGAGTGTAATATTCGTTGTTAAAATACTGGCTTGTTCGTATGAGTGCAAAAGCTTCATGCCTTACTTGAGTTCCGTTTTCGAGACGAACTTGATGCAAAAATGATGGAACGAAGATCGCAAGGAACATTTAGACATCAAGAATAGCCAGGTTGGCACGCAGTTTATGCAGCCATCATTCGTACCAACTTCAATACCGTTCACTATTTTTTGTTATACAACTGCCCTTATTATTGTTCTTGCTCATATGTGACTTACTTATGCCATAGATTCCTTCGTTGTTCTGTTCAAGCAGAAAACGTTTAGCTAATTTTGGGTTCAACAACATTTAAAAGTAATAGAGAATACGCTATAAAAGCTGAAAAAATACGTGACTTTAACCGAATATTAGCAAGAACACGGGCAAAGAACACTTTAATTTAGACCAAATCAACTGAGTCATAACAAGCAACATGCTAAAACAAAATTGTAAAACTAATTTTAGCGCAGGTAAATAAAAAATAAAAAATAGTTACAACACAAAAGTAAATAAAGCATGACAATACATGAGAAAATGGAAAATGGAGAAACAGACTATTAATTTTTAAAAATTTTCATGATTAAACTGTGGGATTTTCAATCCCGCGAATTCTTCTACGATGCCGATATTCCTGTAATCCGATGTGAACTTCAACGTCTCGATCAGACACTGAGTCTAAGGTAGATACGTATTTACGAAAGCCAGCGTTGTTCATCTTTCTGTAGCTTGGCTTTCGGTACAGCTTTAACAACAACGACGAAGTCAGCACACTGACTGAAGACAAAGCCATAAATGCCGCAGCCATCCACGGCTGAATCGAAATGCCCAATGGACTCAGGACGCCTTAAATACGAAAAATAGTGAAAAAAACATTAAAAACTTCAGACCATGAAATTAAATTAGTATAACTTTGCAATGAAATAGGCTACAACATATTATAAGAACCTAATGGAGCTACTGTTTTTTTACAACACTATCGCCTTGTAACAGCAGAATCTCTTTGACCCATCTCATAGCTGACGAAGTTTGCTGAACATTACACTATAATTCGAAATTTAAAAATTATAAAATCCATTTGTATCCTATCCTACTTGGTCGGCTGTCGGACTGACAGTGAAAATATTGCGGATTTGAATCTCTATCAAGTCCACCGTCCTTCATGTGACATACAAAGGCGAACATCATTCTGCGAGAAGGATGCAAAGGAATACACATTGGCCATCTAACTGTATATACTACATTCAAAAATGTACTGACTCTCGGTACTCCCACCGGACATCAGTGCTACAAAGAGGTCGATGAAAGAGGATGCAACAAGGTGTCCACAATGAAAATATATGGGAAACAGATTTCCAATTTACCATTTTTAGATTTGATCGACAAGGCATTCGGAAAGTAAAAACAGCGTCACATAACCGCTGAGGGAAATACAAAACATCTGCTGTTAGATTCATTTGTATTGTCATTTCGGCATTGATTCCCAATATGTACCAGTTGTTGTTTGCATAGGTCATCACCTTGAGCCGCTTTTATAAAGAGAACGTCTCTCCTCAGTATCCATAGCATTTAAACAGTCATAAGGCACCGATTACCGCAAGCAGAAGGAAATATGCCCCTCCTAAAGCAGATCTGCCTCAACACTGTTTCTCACTGTTGCTCCAGGCAAATGTCTCTCCAGTTTCATATTCCACCAGAGAAGCACAGCCGCTGGAATAAACGAGTGCATGCTCAATCAGTCTGTCTAACAGGCCGAACCGTCTTTTATCAAACTCCATATCTACCGAGGTTACTTGTGGAATAGAAACATTCATTAAGTGGTCATGCATTTAACCTTCATTATGCGTTTAAGCCAACGCAGCTGCACGTAGTTCAACCTTTGTTCTTGATCATTCGTTAAACAACTGCATACAGGCGGTACAAAAACACTTACCTGGCAGAGGTAAGGCACACAGACGGAATTTCTCTCAATCCAAATACTGAATATTTTTCCGAAAGCACTCGAGAGAATGGCATTCTTCCTATTAAACTCTGGTTGAATAGCCTAATAGTTGCAGACGATGGAATCGAAATGCTTAAACTGGTCAACATCATGAAGCACTTCGCCTCGCTTTTCTACTAATGGATCAGCTGTGCCAGATGGACTCCTTATAACTTTTGTTTTCCGGGAGTGAAGGAAAAAACGGCTTTCGCACTGGGCGTGGCCGACGGATACCATCAGATGACAAAGCCCGCTCTCGGTACTACCCGCCGGTACAATGTCATCGGCATCAGCAAGACATCTGGTCGGATACACTGAGCTGTGCCTTCACTCTAAAATAAGACCGTCTTTACCTGGGCCAGTAGTATTTCAAAAAAAATTTTAAGAAAAAGGTTGAATAAAAAAAATGAAAGTACATCTCCAACGCGAACTCCACAGTTAATAGAGAACCATTCGGATAGCACTCCTTCATCTTTGAGAGCAGTCGCGGTTCCTTCATATATCTCTCGAAAATGGAAAAAATATGTTCAGTTATCCCATAGCATTTGAAGAATCCAACATCCTCGGACGACGTAGTGAATCAATTGCAGCCTTAAAGTCGAGGAAACTGGCAAATCAAGCCAACCTGAATCAGTAGCCAAGATGCATTTGCTACAGATTCAACTAAAACAGGCATCGAGCCAAAAAAGTTACGTCAATTTAAAAAGTCGCCTGTGCAATGGGCTATGGATCCACATGTGACGACAGTACGGACTTGCATCTCGACTAGGGTAAAATAAAGAGTTCGACAATAGCTTGCTCAAAGCCAGCAACGACAAACAACTTCGACAACAAGTCGGGTTAGATGAGCCTCATTGTGTCTATCACCGACAAACTACTTCAACATGAATAAGACGGAAGAATAGAACACTAGCTCCACTCTTGACTGAAAACGAACTGCCGATGGCGACCCCTACCACAACCAAACTTCACCTATGCTCTAATTAAAACACAGAACGACGTGTCGCTGTCATACTATTACGCAATACATCACTCTATCACGCTAAGTATAAGCAAGCAGCATTTCTGAGGTTGTCTTTAAATTCGACAGCAGAGTAAACGGTAAAATGCATTGAAAGACAAGAATGGAGAATGCTACAGCCCTGACGTGGATACAGTCTTGATTCATTACTTGAACTATATGGTTCCTCTTTTGACTGTTCTCGAAAAACTCATAGGAGCATTGAACATTATTAAACAAAGTAGATTTTCAGCTATCTGTTATAGCAAAATAGTTAAACGTAAAAGCACGTTCAGTACAAACATTGCTCTGAATCCGCGTTGTTAAGGAATTTAGACAGAAACTTTTAAATGGAAAAATCGATAGATAAAAAGTCAACAGACAAAAAAATAATAATAAATAAATCTGGAGAAAAAGTCAACGAAGCTCGAAGTTATGGATAATATCAAAAAACGTTGAAGAGTTCATAGCATCGTAACAACGTTATGAAATATTAGTAAAAGTAATATATTCTCATGGGCTCTAGTGCATTTCTCTATGCTGGTACATATTTAAAATTCATTTAAAGGTGCAATGGCTCAGGGCAGATTATATTACTTCAGAGTGTAAATCTGGAGATTATGTATGCAAATCAACAAATTTCCAGCGCCAAAACACTTATTTGTGTTCTTCATAGCTGCACCAAAAGATGAAGGTCAAATTGTGAGCTACTGTGATGAAAATTAAAAAAGAAATAAAATCAAGAGTGAATAAGTACTTAATAAACGAACGTAGGACCACATTATGATTTGAAATGTTCTCAGTACGAACAGACCGGTTTCGGTTAACCACCATAATCAACTATGTTATTCCATCTCTGGTAGTCATTACTGACAAGTGCAGAGAAATTCTGATAAGAAAAGGATTCCGTTACACTTATCCTCCCACACCAACATTTCTAGGTGTGCCGAAATGGATGAATCAGCTCTAGAGGTGAAAACTTCTTACCGTCAAGGTCGAAGTTCTTGAAACTACGGTATTTTATAAAAAATCCCGAAACTATGTCTAGCTGCCACTTTTGTCAAACTTGGCACTACTCTCATTCCAAACCTCTTAGCGGGAGAAATTTCAAATAAAAACAGTCACTCACTTCACTCAGCTTGAATGGTACATCTAGGATCTATTCAGACTGATGATTTCTGTTCTATCTGTAATTTATGCAATAAATCAACATTGGGTCCATTAATGTAATCAAACGTACAAACAAAGAAGGAAGTTCCTCTCATAGAACTCGAATGCGCCTTTGTCAATAAGCACAAAGAACGATGGGTCACAAATATTTTTAAGCGAAGGAACGGTGTTTATGTTACAAATAAAATGAACTTAATCTGATTTCTATCCCTCAATGAATTCAGAACCAGACTATGCAAAAAAGAAATAATATTATTCATACCAGCAGCAATTGGAATGCCGAGAAGGTTATAAATCGATGCGAAGAGAAAATTGAACCGAATTCGCCGTGTAGTCTTCTTCGACAGGTCCACTGCCGCCACTACATCTAGGAGGTTGTTCTAAGGAGGAAAAAACTAAAAACATTTTAAAAAATTAAATTAAAACAAAATACGAACGTTGATCAAAACAATGCCCGCAGATTCTATGGCGATATCAGAGCCGGATGCTATAGCGATCCCAACGTCGGCAGCTGCCAGTGCTGGACTATCATTCACGCCGTCACCGACCATTGCAACCTGGAAATAGTTTCCTCATTAGTCATGTCAAACTTCTTGCTAATGTGGGGAGGAAATACTCTAGTAAGTTTATAAACGGTAAAGCACAAAGCAAACTATAAGGTATGCAAAAGAAAAGATATGCACAAGAATGAGCAGAAGGACCATTCAGGACTCGTTCGACGGAAGCAAACTTTTGAATGTCTACAGGTCAGGATTGTGTAATGCATAACTATCGCATAACATATCGCATAAAAGTTTCAGTTTTGGTTATATCGTGTTAAACTTGCTGCTGGTCGCAATAACATTCGATTTGCAGCTGGCCGGAGCGTAATACAACTGCTGGGTCAAATCGCTGAAAATTTTCTTGGCAAAGAAAAATGTGGCATCGTTAACGTCGATCACAATTGCTGCTGTGATCCGCTGACACAGCAGGCCCGCAGTGTTCCCAGAACGCCTTAAGCAGCGACGCAGAATACCATAATCTTTGACTGACAATGCCCAGAAAAACACAGGCACCGTATTCATTACCTTATAGGCTATATATGTGTGTGCGAGAGCTGCTAACGAAACAGAACAATGGCGCTGATTGCCACAATCTTTGAAAGAAGATAAATTACATCCTCACCTTCGACACAATATGGCAAACATGGACTGACCAAATTACATGAAGTGCAGCAGACATTGAGGTGACTGATCGTTGACTTACAAGTGCCAATGTGCCTAAACACAGAACAGCGCCAAAGAATCGCCACACGATAATGCAGCCACATGCCTGTACGATTCTAAAGGACTATGGGCCGTCAAGAATACGCAGAGAATATGTCTTAGGAATTATACTCTGGATATCATGATCATATTCCGGAAAACATGTTGTCACAGTTTTGCAATCTTAATCAGTATGCCATGTAATTCTTCGCTGTCCCATCAATCTATTTCTCAGACGAAAATTTTACGCTCTCCATAATGATTAGATTTACGTTGAATACATCGGTTCGCTAACCTAACACTGCATATATATTGAGATAGCTTAATCTAGCTCAAACGTTAGAGCGTTAGAGTCGCAGTCGAAGGAGAGTGCGTTTGAACCCCCGGAAAGATGCTCGTGTTTAATTTTTCAGCAGCAGATAAACGCATGCTACTTCATGGAAAAAAATTGAAGACCACATACTACAGTGATCCCGCGATTGTAAATAATGCCTTCAAAACTAAAGCACATTTTACTCATAACATCGACAGCAAAGCGAGATCAGAGCTACAATATTAATTCTATGACAAAAAACATCTGTCACTGAAGTCTAAAATAAACGTATATTTGCCCCGTTATAAGTGTTCCTTGCTTTAAACTACATGCACTGTGAGCAACTCGTATTTATCAAGGGAAAAGGACGATAGCAGACAGGCTTCTGTCAAGGCTTACCGCTGCCGTTCAGAAGAGAAGTCATTTCTAAAAAATGACATGCGAACTTCGAGATACGTAAAAATAGTTTTTGTCAAGTGAATAAAATTCATCTCTAGTTAATGGTTGAAGTCAAAAAGTGATAAAACAAGATAAATGAACTAAGAAAGATGATAAAGGCAAAACTTTCTAAACTCATAATACATCTGAGACTCGTCTTTCTCGACTGAAAGAGTGAAAACAGCATCTATCGCGCCTTCTAGGACTAAAATGAACTGTGCCCGCCCTTTAAAAAATTAATTTATCCGGGCATTATAAAGAATTTATCGTACTCAAAAAAATTTTTTCCCTCAAAGATCTTTCAACCCTTGATTATCATTGTTTCAGTCGAAATCTGGGTTATACCCAGTGCTGATTATTGAACTGGGTAATCAGCTATCAGTTGGGCAAAGCCGAAATGCAACCAAAAGGGACGGTCGCATCTCACAGCAAAGTCCCAAACCTCGTCCTTTCTAACATCACTGGATCAGACCTATTATTCGAAAGTTGCCAGATTTATTACTCATTTCTCGGTTGGTTGTGCCGAAGCGACGAAGAGAATTTGCAGTAAAGACAGAGACTCTCCGCTGAGCGGATTCGAACAAATACTATCCCTTCGGAGTTCAAAGTCGACCTCTTTGGAATTGTGCCACCATTCCCTCAGTAACCAATTACTTCAGTACTGTGAAAGCCTTCACAGCTTAAGCAAATGTTCATGGGTATAAGCTTCACCGTGGTTTATTCTACCATTTGTACCCTTCAAATGACTGGGGCATGCAGCTGGATTGTAGAGAGCAATGCGCAGAATATAGGTAATTGACAGTGACTTTACTGAGAATCAGCAATTTCATGAGAGATAATCGATCATACAATGCACACTGATCTCGTTACCATCTCGCCACATTTTTGAAGCTGTTCCACTTTCCGCATCTTTTGCTCCGGAAGCACTTCGGCAAATACGGTTTTGATGCCAACCTGAAAGGAGAATATAGAGTTGCTGACGTTGTCAATCAAAACGAATACCTGCCTGGCGACAGCGGTCGCCGTGCGCACGTTGTCACCTGACAACAGAATCACTTTCAAGCCCATCGCTTGCAGGGAATAAACGGCCAACAGCGCTTCTGGTTTCACAGTGTCAGCGATCGAAACGAAACCGGCCACCTCACCTGAAACTCATGCTGTTAGAAAAGAAAACGATCAACTGTTCTGCTCCTTGGCTACTGGCATACGTAAACAAGAATATCAGGAAGTAAACGTCGAAGCAAACCGTAAGAAAATCCGGATGATTACTCAGGACGTGACATTTAATAATAACTGATCGAAATATGTAAACTAATTATTATTTATAATCATCTTTGCGAGTAAAAGGAAAGCTGTATAAAACAATAATAAAACATGTGCTCTGCATGGAGCGGAACGTTTGACTACCCTAAAGAAACATGAACAACGGCTGAAGTCGGTAGAAATGCGAATACATAGGTGGATGAATGGTGACAGCTGAAAGAAAAACCATGCCAGGAACAGCTTCATAACAGTCCACTTTAGACGTAGCATCAATTTTAAAAAAGCTTATCAAAAGGAAGTTCCGCTGGTTTAGCTACGCTGAAAGAGGGCTAAACGAGTACGCAGGAAAAGTGGCTTAAGCACTGATACTGCTAAGGAAAAATAAGAAATTCAAACAAAAGGTTGCGTCTTGACGTACAGAACGATAAGAAACTGTGAGAAGTGAAGGAACATTCATCCAAAGAATGAGACATGGTCAGGCAGTTGACTCAAACAGCTTACCCCTGGCAAAGAAGCAAATGAAAACACCGTCGTGAACGGCCATGAGTACTTCAAATGTACATCTGCAGCTACAATTTCCGTAAAAAAATAATCATCTTTCTTATTTTCGTTACAATCTCAATGAGTGGTGTGTTTATTCCTGAAGTTCGAACCACATACCAAGTGTTAGGGAGTTGAAATACTCTTCATAAAGTTCCTAACAGGAAAACCCCCTGAATGATCTCGACTTCCAGTTTTATCAACTGTCTTTAGTAGGCGTTGACGTTGGAGTTATTTCCGCTGGCAGTGTCGACATTTTTAAATTTTAATTTTTAAATGTAAATTTTAAATTTATACATGCAAGCATACAGCATACTTCGTACCTGAAATGGAGAGTGAGCTTATGCTCAATTAATATGCCAATCAAGAACATCCTCCTTTTCCTAATTTCTAATTCTACTTCTGTTGCTTTTACTAGAGAGGACAAAGTCTTCCGTTATATGGTAATGTCAATTGAACCTCAACACGCAAGAAAACTAACGCTACCGCATATTGTAGGAGGCTTCAGTCATTGTCTTCAGTGCACCAAAGGTTTCTGAGTCGGATAATAACGTGACTTGACTCAAGAAAGCTACAATAAATTTTTTATGAAAACGGATATTCTTTTGTCTGTCCAAGTATTAGACGGGCCATCGAAGCTGCTGAAATAAGTAATTGCAATCTTCTTACATTAACATCATCAAAAAAGCTGAAACCGAGGTACATAATCTGGTCGATCTGTCCTAAAACTTAACGTTCCGTAATGGCCCATTTACAACACCATTCTTTCATGAAGCCAATGGCACGCCGCTTACGTATGCCAATGTCATCAGCTATAACCACAAATGTATTTTGAACAGATGAAAGTGTCCTAGATGGAATTTGAAAGGAAACGGAAGGTTAGTCACCGCTGAAATGTCAATCTTCCTTCACTTTCATGATTGAGCTATTTTGGCGTCCTCCTTTTCATGAAGCTGATGGTGCGATGCTGGTCTTGTTTCTATGCCATTAACTACGAGTGCCTTAATTTTTTATGGCACAGTCTACAGCCATCGGTCAAACGTAACGTGTAGCCTACAGTTTTCTTTCCATGGAGTGGTACTCATTTATCAACCTCGGAAGCAAGAAAGGCGAATGAAACTGACAGGGCCCTATACGTTTTGTGTTTGACGCTCCACCGACTGAGCAACCATGATCTGATATAAACTGAGGTCAATGAGTGTGGTTCCTTGCTCAAGGGAACTCGTTAATAAGATAAAGATGACCCTCGAGCGGAATCGAGCTGGCTGGATTCGAACTCTTGGTCGTTATACTGCTCGTTTAGCGCTCTAACGACTGAGCTAGCCTAATCGCCATAATTCAAAATGCATTAAAATTTAACCATTCGTTCGTGTTTAGCGCAGAAGAACTCTACAATTACGAAACTAAACTTTATGAAACTCTGCCCAGAACTTTGGAGAATACGATGGTCGTTTATTAGACAGCATGAGGATTATTTTATTTGACGACGCAGCAATGTCTGCAAGAATCACAGCAAGGGTAATGTATGAGTGTTGAGACAGAATTCACTTTTGAGCCGATCAACGTTGCAGCTACTGACAAGAAAAGTACCTGGAAAATATTTGGTAAAAAATCAAAGCATATTCGTTTATTCGACTTTTTTGGCGCACCAAAAACTCAAATCGGCACTCTTGAAATCTTCTCTGAGTGTTTGCACTATCGAATTGTACCGGTGTGCTTTGAAACAAACGCAAAGACGCTTATAATCTAATGGAGACCAATTTCTATTTCGAAGCCACTGAATGATTCACTTCTTCTTAGGATTTTAGATGACAGAGAGTACATCCATTAGGCCGGGCTGGTGCTATGTTTGTGAACTTTAAAGTGATCCCTTAGGGAGGTCCTGCACGGTTCTCGCTACGAACCATATACTTTATATTATTAAGATACGAAACGTGCACTATCTTAGATATGATCTATGAAAACCTAATAATCGAAAGCCAGTGTTTCGATTAGTTCACACCGCAGCTAACTTTCACAAGTGATGCTGATACTGAAAAGAAACATAAGAACTACAGTAGCGCCAGGTCCTACCGTCAACGA